TCTTGTTTTCTAGGTGCTCTCACTTGCAATATCCATTAATTTTTAATAATTTTTGTAGTTGCGGTTGGCGAAATATAATTTAGAAGCTAATAAACACGAATTTGATGAGTACAAACAGAAGGCACAAAAAATCCTTAGTGCGAAAGAGCAACTTCTTGCTTCTCTTAAAGAGGTAATTATTATTTGACTGCTTGACACGCAAACTAAATTTTATCTTGCTTTCTGAAATATCGTTGACAGTAAAATTATTTGAAGAACACAGCAGAAGGCGGTGATGACAGCTCGTCAATGGTTGAGCTGCAGGAGTTACGCTGCGAAAATGGACTGTTAAAGGAAGACGCTCAACAGTCACAACTTGTTATTTACAATTTGAAGGCCGATATTCAAGTGAGTTGATCAAAAAAATATAGCTTTACCCGCAATGTTGGTTAAATGAATAATTTTGATGACTTATTTATTTTCGGTTTTAAAATGGAGAAAAGCTTCTAACATACTATGTTAGTTTTTCTTAACTTTTTTCTTAATTTGTGTACGAGTGAGGCGTTTCTTTATCAGGACTTGGAAAATCGTTTACGGGAAGAACAGAAGTCATCGTGTGGGCAGAGGGAAGCTCTTCTGGAGCAAAGTCATCGTCATTTGAGTGCAGCAAATCAGTACCACGAACAGCTGGAAAGAGTTCAGTTGGTGTGTTTTTTTGGTTCCTCTTTCTTTCCTGCTTTGGCATAATTTTTTTTCTCTTTCGATGATTTATTCCAGAAACCTAGAAATTAACCCGTTGAATTTCATCTACGTCTGATACTGTTTTGCATTTGTTGAATAGTAAGCTTTCTATCTCGAAAGGGCCAATGAGGTTACGTCTGTAGCCCAGTTTCATAAAAATTACTATTTGCTTGTTGATTAAACATGGCACACTTTGAAAGGTTGCAGCTTCCTGCATTCTTCAATAAATTAAATACTTTTGGGCTTGTTGGAAATTATTTTTTTTACTTCCTCTATTTTCTTCTGAAGTTTTAATTTTGCTTCATTGTTGCGCAATTAGCAAAGATCTTTTTAAAGAGGCTAGAGAACATAGCTGTTCTGTTAATTTTTGAAAGGAATTTTTCGCGTAGAAATTTTTCTTTGACAAGGTATGACAATTTTTTAAAAGTGACGTTGATGGTCAGAAAGAAAAGTGGAATGAGGCGAAGATTGCACTAAAGTACTTGCTTCTAGCCAGTCACGCACCGAGAACGACGTCTCATATAACTCTAGGGGCCGGCTGTTTCGAATCACGGTGATCTAGAGTGTTTTTTTTTTAAAATTGTAGAAACAGAAATTTTGTTTTCCAGCGCAAACCCTGCCTTACTCTTTTTTTTCGTTATTTGCGTCTCTATCGATGTCCTTGTTAGAATTTATTGCGTATTGTAGAAAGAAAAAATGTTACAAAAAATGTGGCTTTTGGGAAGAAGTTGGTTTTTTTCTATCCTTTCCGTTCGTTTTTAAGTGAGAATCTTTTTAAACTTTATTAACTGTTCAAACAATCCAAATTTTGCGAAGATTCAGAAAAATAAAGGTATGCTTTTTAAAGTGACTTCAGAAGTACTTAATTATGTGGAGGGTGAACTATTTCATAATAGTTATATAATGCCCATCTGAAAAATGCGACTTTTCACGAGTTTGAAAGATGCTGACTTTTGTTGAGGAGTCCAGTGAAGGTGATTTCTTTGGCTTCGCGTGTCAGGCTATGAGTCGTATCATTTAGCAAAGTTTGAGAAAAGTCTGGAATAGTGGTTCAGGAAAAATAATCTGTTTGTGGCGAAATGAATTTTATTTGAAAATACTTGTTTGTTTTCTTGTCTTGGCCTATTTTACTTACCACAAATAAATTAGCATTTAAGGAGTATGAGTTCCTTCAAGCCGAAATGAGACGTCAGGAGGAAGCTGTTGAGAGGAAACTTGCTGAAAAGGATGTGGAGCTGATGAAATTGATGGAAGAAAGGAAGTGGGGAAAAAAATATGATGCAGGCGAAGCTGAGCAAAGGCTGAATACGATGGGTGAGAAGTTGATTGCAAAGCAGACTACCATTGAGAGGCTTGAGGGCGAAAAAAGAGCTCTTGTCTTGCGTCTTGAGAGAGCGGAGGTTTTTTCTATTTGGATCTATTTTATTAAACGTTAATTCAACTTTTTTGAAATTCATATAAGAATTAGAGTTATTACTAATATTGTTTTCTTGGGATTTCTTGTTGGTGCTGAAGAAAAGATTAATATTTCTTTACAGCAAGTCATCTCCTAGCAGGAAAAAAAAGTAGTTTGTAATTTTCAGAAGGGTCATAGACAAGTAGAAACAGCTGTTGGCAGTCACTATATTATAGAAATGCACGATGATAACAGTAGCCAACATAAGTCGATATTTAGTTCATCCGGTAAAGAACCATCAGTAATTCGTATTTCAAAAGGTTTTCTACGGGGCATCGATTTATTAGGGTAGGTTCTTGATTATTTTTGAACTTTTTAGATTTTGTCAGGTTAGCTTCCACTTAAAGCTTGTATGACTTGTGCTGAGTTTTTTTTACTTTTAATTGCGTGAATTTATTTCTGGAAGTACCCCATTTTTTAACTTATGTGATTCAAGCAAGAAACTTTACCGATTTTATTTATGTTAATGTTCCATTTTACTTTTATTTTTTATCTACTTTTTAGAAACTTTTTAGGTTGCGCCTTGCCAGTTTTTTGAGGAGTCCTGTGTTTCGTATCTTCTTCTGTATATATTGCATCGCTTTACATTCATGGGTGTTCTTCATTATTTTGACTTATTCTCCAGAGATTCATCCTCTGTGAGGGAGATATGCCTTTTGATTTACAGCAGTGGAAGTTGGTTTCTCTAAGGAGTAGGAGCAGCTCTGCTGAATGGGTTTGCGAATCATGAATAGTATGTCCTGTTTTTGTTTTTTATTTTTTCATTCACTTATTTATTTTTGGTAGATCTTGTCTCTACAGAATTGTTTATTTCATTTCTCAGTTTTGTTGACTAGGTTAGTACTATTGTGCTAAAGAGTTTTCGGCTTGTCAATTCGATTATTTTTTGTGAGTCATGGCTTTTTTTTTTTTGTTTTTAACTTTATTTTTGTTTTTTATAGGAATTTTTAATATTGTAACCTACTTTTGGACAGAAGATCACTTGGTTAAAACTCGTGTCTCACTTGGTGTTATTTGTTGTTATCTGTTAAGTTCTTACAAACTAGAACTTATTCTATTGTGATTTTTAAATTGGATTATCAGTTGTATGGTAATTGCAGATGGTGTACTGTTTTTTTACGTGCAAGTGTTTGAATTTCCTGTTTTTTCTTGTAGTATGGTAAAATGTTTTTCGTTCGGTAATTATAACAATGATTTTAAGTATTTTTGATCATCAGAACGGAAATATTTTTCCCTTTTAATGTTTTATCGTGCTAGTTTGTGTTTTTTGTAGTATATAAGGAAGTTTCTTTACTCCTCTGTTTACTCTAATAAATTAACGTGATAACTTGATTGATATGAAATTATTCATCAAATTCATACTAATAGTGCACAAACATCGGTTTTGAATTCCGTTAATGAAGTGCCTTTTCTTATCGTCCTCTCTTACTTTCACTTTGTTAGGGCAGAGAGGTATTCTCCTGACTACATATCAAAGAGTTGAATAAGGGAGTTGTTTTTTCAGAGTTTTTTTGTTGGGGGAGTTCACGTCATTAGGTTTAGAAGTAGTTACTTTTGGTAGTGTCTGTATTAAATGGGGGCACTATGTAGATCATATATAGTTGTTGCATTTGGTTCTGAGTGATGGATGTACTGGTAAAAATTGTTTTATTTTGCTCTCAAATTAGGTTGTTTGAGACCGTGATTTGTTTATAACTTGTTCTGCGCTGCTGATGATTTGTTTCTGAAATAATGAGTTGGCGGGGAGTTTCAAGGTACATTGGTTGTTTTGTTAGTGAGACTCGTTTGTGATTGATCATGGCTGCTGGTAATGTTGCTGTCCCTCAGTCCTTGCGACCTATAGCTCACTATGTGAATATTGCAAAAGAAAATTTGGCTCGAGACCCTGTTATACACTACTGGTGTAAGTAATTTGTTTTCTCGTTTTTAAAGAAACCAGTGGAGTTTTAGGGTAAGGCAGTTTAAATTTCAGAATTATCTTTGAAAATGGATCATCACTTTTTAAGCAACATGTGATTTTAGCATTTGCTTGTTCCTGGAAGATACTTGTTCAAGGTAAATAAATACAAAAATATAAATAAATTAATCTCTGCTATGAATTTTCTAATTTGAATCTGTGTTCCGGAGTGGAAACTTTTTTTAGCTGGTTAAATTCACAACGTTTTGTGTTTTTATGATTTATGCTCATGAATTTCGATATTTTTCGGAATTTATTCGTTTAATTTTTAATTATTTTATCTGTAATTGTTACGTTTAGGCTTGTACTATGCGGTTCAGACGGGGATGACTGTTGACAAAAAGTCGAAGGACGCTATCAATTATCTGACATCATTGTTGTCAACTTTGGAAAGGGTAACGCAAAATTTATTTTTTCAAATTACCTTTCTTGTTATTCAGTCTTGCATAATGCATCGGATTTTTTTCAGATAAAGAAAGAGTTGTCTGGCAATGAGGCTATATCGGAGGAAGTCGTCGCACAGGCACACATTGAAAACTATGCTATGAAGCTTTTCGAATATGCTGATAAAAATGATCGGCAGTCAAACTTCTCGAAGTAAATTTCGTTGTAATAGTTTGTTGGGTGAAGGGGATTCATTTTAGAGAAATCTGTTGTGTAAACAAAATTTACTTGCAAATCCAAATAAGTATTTTATTACTATATTTCTTGTTTAATCATATTTTAATTGTTTAATCAGTTTTAGAGGTGTTATAAAGGCATTTTACACTGCTGGATATTTAATCGATGTATTGTCTGTATTTGGTGAGCTAGATGAACATCTTGTTACTACACGTAAATACGCTAAATGGAAGGTAGATGATCTCTTCGCTGTTGTACATTTTAATATGATGAATTTTAAGCTTATTTTTGGTGATTATCTTTAAAACAGTCGAAATACGGCTGGAATATATTCTTTTTGCTGCTGTTTTTAGTGAATGGATCTCTTTAGTAAATAGTGTAGTAGTTCTAGGCTGCGTATATTAGTAACTGTTTAAAAGAAGGTGAGATCCCGGTGCCGGGTCCTGCTGGAGGACGGACGGAGGACGGTTCTAATTTGGAAATGCAGGGTATTTTTTTTATTTTGACTTTTGATAAAGTAATTTTTTAATTAAAAATATTTTCAGCGGGCCAGAAACCCATTGACGGTAATCAGAAAGATGCTCGTGATACCGAAGTTATTGAACCTGTGAACCCAGGATCGAGCACAGTTGCGGAACCACACCCACCCGACAAACCAACTGCAGCTCCGCGAGTAATACCAGCTGTTCCCGTACAACCTTCAGTTCCTATTCAACCTTTGGTTCCCACTAATTCTACTTCTTCACAACCTTCTGCAGTTCCCATACAGAGTATTTTAGAGGCTCAGAAGCATGCAAAATATGCCGTTAGCGCCTTATCTTATGAAGATGTGAAAACTGCTGTAGAAAACTTGGAAAAAGCTTTAAGTTTTCTAAAAAACAGTTAGTTTCCTTGTTGAGGACGTTTTATTTTTGACTTTTGTGCTTTACTTTGTCAGCTGTAAGTCATTTGTACAGCGTTCAGTATACCATTTAACCATTATTGAGCCATTTACACAACGTGCCCTCAAAACTGCAATGGACCGAATAATGCTTCGCTTGGCACTTATTGTTTTTTTACTACATCAAATGAAATTTAAGTAGTTTAAACTGTCTCTGAAGTTTCGTAACGTCATTGGCACAAAGGCTATTATTCCAATATACTAGTGGAAATTTAGGTGTACTGGGCACTGACGAGTTTATTGTCAAATTGATTTCAATTGCTATTCCGCAGTTAAAACTTCACAAAAGTAGATAAAGTGGTCTTCCGCTTATTCCAAATTCGTTTCTGCTGTTTCTTTAACTTCAGCCTGCTTCACCATCTATAAATTGATTTGAATAAAACTGTTTGGTCTTTCTGTTCGGATTTTAAACTGTTAGTTGCGTTCCTGCTGCTTTACTTCTGTGTAATGAACTTTATATTTTTAATGCTGAATAAATTTTAGATGAAAGGATTTACCTTCAGACCGGTTTTTTTTGACCAAAGTGGATGGCTGGAAACAATAAGGATTTGTGGTCAAAGTTATGAGAGAAATTGAAATTCTTTTTTTGCTTGAAAGCCATCGTTTTTTTCGAAAAGGTTTTTACATATTGGTTCCAGTAAAGTACTGTTTTTGTTCATTTTTTTAGTTGGTTTTGGTCAAGTCAAGTAATTCTGCTGTTGATTTTGCGACGAGAGCGTACTTTGTTCAGGAGCGAACGAAGTGGTGTTGTATTTGGGTGAGAGAGGAAAGGTGATATAATGTCAGATCCTAAAAAGAAGACTAAAGGGAGTAAGGAGGAGTATTTTCGGCTGGAGTTAGTACTTATATTAATCCATTTAGAGGGTTTTAATAGCTTTAAATACTTTGTTGAGAAACAAATCTGGTTTTATCAACTGTCATTATTAAAATGTAGTTTCATTACAGCGGCAAGAAGCGGCAGAAAAAGACATTAGTTTTTGGTAAGAAGGCAAAAGAAAAGAAAAAAAAACTATTGGCTTTGGAGCAGGCATCTTTTTCATTAGGTGACCAATTTACTGGTGAGTTTAAAGTTCATCTCGCTGTAATTATTCGAAGTTTCATCATGGCAGTTTTTTGATGGGTTTAGCTTATATTTTTTGTTTGGATATGTTGTTCCTCATTCACTTAGGTGAGCATGGTATATTTGGAGTTCCATTGGCAATAGCTGTGTCTAGAATGCCTTCTCACGACGGTGTTCCTTTACCTGTTGTTGTCAGACGGTGTGTCGATTATATTTATGACAATGGTAACTAATATTTTCGTTTTGTTCTAGAAAATTGAGTTATTTATTCCCTCACACGTAGCTGTTTGTCAAGGATGAATTGTCAGACTTGAGAAATTGTCCAATTTTCTCAAAGAGCGCAAATTGTTCTTTGTAGATTTAGAAGTAAGACTGCTGATGGAGGGTGAGAAAGCGACCAGTTAGATCTTTTTTACAGTTAAAGTCATGCTTACTTTCCTCTTCTTATTGCTCACGTGATGCTGTGTTAACTCTGTTATTCATTAGGAGAGTAGACTGATTAGTATTATTTGCTAAAAGCAGTTTTGTTAAGGATTGAACGTTGAGGGTATATTTCGAATATCGGCACCGAAGTCTCGATTGGACGAGCTAGAAGCGGTAGTGAATTCAAGAAAGCCGTTTTCTTTATCAGACGTTCATGACGCAACTGGTCTGTTGAAGCGCTTTTTGCGACAACTCCCCGAGCATATACTTACAGAAGATATGCGGAATGTATTTGAACAGATTGCATCAAGTGACTTCTGATTCTCACTGTGTTTTTTTTTACCTCACTGTTTCAAAATTTAAAAGGAAACTCGACATAGTAAACTGAGTTTGAGCAGTAAAATGAGATTTGACTACTCATAAATTTGTGGAAAAGTACTATTTAACATTTATTTTCAAACCTTTCTAGAGTTAGAATTAACTTTTCACTATTCAGAGTGTCCTTGTAAATCTCTTCCGACATGCCGCTGTCTGGTAGCCGACCTTCTAAAGGCACAGTTGAGCCGTTTACCGAATGAAAATTACATGTTACTCGCGTACGTTTTCTTGTTGGCGCAGAAGATTGTGGCAAATAAAGAACAAAACAAAATGGGCGTCGCTGCTTTGGGTCTATTGCTGCAAGCAACTTTAAATCTCTCACAATCTTTATTACGAATTTTCCTTTTAAACGCGGCGGATCTCATCTCGCGAGACAACAGTTCCCAGGTAACTGGTTAACAGCTTATAGTTCGTGTACTTTTACAGAACATTTTAGAAGTTCAGATGTTTTTTATTTTTTGTGTAATCTTAAGCAGCACCAACGTACTTTTATTTGTTTAATTTGTAGATAGTTTAGGTAGTCTATCTCTTCAAGGACGCACAAATAAAAAGGTAATTTTCTCCTTTTGTTCACTTGATCACTCCTGTTGCATAACAATATCTTTTTCTTGTCGGTCCTCTTTCTTAAACCTAAAACGTACGCTTTTGGCGTCTTATTTTAATAAATATAAATTTATCAACTAATTAAAGTTTTTAGAAAAACTGGGGTTAATTTGTGTTTTTACCTTACATCCATTTCTGTGCTGTTCGCAACCACATTTTTTTTATTCTAAAAAAATATTAATTTATGTTTGTTAGCTTTAATTTTCAAGTTAACCCTTACTATATAATTAATATTGTTTTATCTTGTCACCAACTAAAATGATTACTGAATCCATCGAAGTCTTTACCTTAACATATACAGCAACTGCTGCTGTTACTGCTACAGTTATTGCAGTTAATACTCCAAGTGCAGTTATCGTTGCAGTTACATTGGTTTTCTTCTTCTTTTCTCCTACTGGTCTAATAGAATTTATATCGTACTCGGGTGGCTGTCGAGTTTCTGTCTGTTCATGTCCTTTCGCATTGGTGTCATTCTCTGCTCCTATCACACTTTCTTCCTGAAATTGCTAGTCTAATGAATAGTTAAAAAATTTTATTTAGCTTTGATAGATATGAATCGGCAGTTGTATTTATCGGATTCATCTGCCAGTCATTAATTAACGCATCAAGTTTTATAAAAGCTTTTGGTTTTTATTCAAAAATTATTCGGCAGGTTGTACTTTTTAATTATCTTGAAAAGAACTGACGCTTTGGATTTTGCATCTGCTGTTTTCCTTAGTTAACATCTTATTAAATGGTTACCATCAGTTGTATTAGTGGAGTAGTTGATTTTTCTTCCAATACAGCTTCTGACGTTGTAGTCGTGGTAGAGGGTTTAGTCGTTGTATCAAGTTCAGCGTTATAACTTGTTAGTATGCTAGTATTAAGGGAAGTAACCGGCTCTCCCCGCAGTACATACGGTCTGTCGCAAATAGTATTGTTTGCATTTTCCAGAATAAATTCTTGCCCTTTGCGAACCGCTGCTTCATATTTGCTCTTTATTACGCTGACAACTGAAGTAAGTAATGTCACATGGATTCATAAGTAAGCGTTAATACTTGCAAGCAAAACGGAAATGGGGCTGCTTCGGTCGACATTTTTTGATGAGCAAAAAGTGCTTTATTTCCTTCTTAGTTTTCTCCGTAGAGCTTTTTTCAACTAGTGCTTCGCTCAGTCTCACGTTCAAGAAGAAGAGTGAAAAGGAGGGTTTTTTAAAATTTTTGATGGTAGGAAGTTTTATATGCTCTTTACAAAAATGGCACTATAGTGTAAATCTACAGTATATTATTTTCCTTCTGGATTTTAGGCTGCACTTTTGTTAACAAAAATTGGGAATAAGAGTTTAAAGATTTACTTGTGCGTACGGTCTGAAACCTTTTGAAAAACACAGAAGGTTCTCCTGAGGTGCTGGTTGGCTAACTCAGGGTTTTACGGCAAGAATTTCTTAAGCTATTTTTTTTGATGGACGCTATTAAAACTGTCTAGTATTTTCACTCTTCCTAGAGCGGGCTTGTTTTACGACGATGGAAGAAGGGAATTGATTATTGGAGCAGCTCGATTTTATTTCATCTACCACTTATTTTGTCTATTTTTGTTCCATGCAATAAATAAAAAAATTAAAAAATTATTTTTTTTGAAAAACTTTCTGTGGCACTCTTTAGAACGTTTTAAGTTAATATAAAGATTTAAAGTTCTATGTAGTCTTGGTTTGTGACTATCGTTTGGGATTCTTGGCAGAGAGTTTGGTCTAAGAAGTTAATAAGACATTTTTGAAAACCAGCGAGAAGTACAGCATTCTGTAGAAGCTGGAATTACTGGTCAAGAGTTAAGGCTTATTTGTGGTCATAAAACAGTGATAGATAAATTTTTTTTCTGAAGAAGACGTTAGAACTAAGTTAAAAAAACATATAAAAGATTATTTTTCAAGTAGTTCTTGACTCTCTCTTATGACTCTCAGATAAATAGAAGAGTAAAAAAGAAAGCACATCTATGAAAATTTGAAAAGCAGGTTTATCTGGTATGAAAGGAGAACCTAGGTCTTTCAAACCTCATTGATGAGAGAGCATGTTTTGCTGTAAGCACGAAGAAGAAGTTTTCACTCTTAAGCATGCAGTATTTTAGGAGTAAAAGCAAGTTCAACTTGACAAATTTGTCTCGTAGGGTTCTTTGCGTATACTCAACTAGCATAATTTGTATTTCAGAAAATTTTTGCACGGGTTTTAACGGTTTTAGCGGAAGATGGTTTTAAAGGGATATTTCGAAATTACATCACATAAGTAGGATAAACGGAGAACTCTACAAAGAAAACATGCTGAAAATTTTGAATAAAATGCTTCCATTATAGGTTGCAAGGATAGGCATCTTAAACTGCGGTTGCAGAGATTATATTTTATTCTACAGGTGTATAAACTTCAAAAGCTTTTTTAGCAGTTACTATTGTGTTAGTGAAGGCTTTAAAATCACAGTCAAATTTGTTGAAATTCATCTCAGCTTGAGTTAGTCTGTGGATTAGAAATATAAACTTTCTTTGGTTTAGCTTCCTGCGCTATTGTAGAAGCAACTCAAAAAAGGACTAATTGGTAATGCTCTATTTTATAATTTTTATTCTAAATTTTAACAGTGATGAAAATGAAGCAATTTAGGTTTAAATTGGAATTTCTTTCCAGGAAAAAAGCTAGCGTTTGATTCTTTCATTTATGGAAGTTATTTTTTTTTGTGAGAGCGGTATTTCAACTATTTGGAAGTGGTGCTCAAACAGAAGAGTCATTATCTGGACTTTTTTTAAAATGTTATTTAATAAGTAGATATTTTAACTTTAATATGGGTGAAAGTTGTATTTTGGGCTTTTATATTTTGAATAAACATTCTTGCGATTAGGGGGAATTCTCGTTTTAACTACGGTTTTATCTGTAAGAAGTTTTGTACAACAAAAAATTCATTTTTGGAATAAGTTTGGTTAGGTACTGTTTGGATTATAAACGCAGATTCTTTACTCATTTTCTTTCTGGATTATGAATTTCTTGTTAGAAGCTCTTTCGAATAGTCTTTGGCAACTTACTGAGATCTGTGTTTTACATTTGTTTCTTTAGCTTTTAAACTGACTTTTTATTTCTATCGTTCAGGTAGGCTGGAAAATTTTGAGATTGTTGATTTTACGCGATAAAAGTCTCAATTATTTTTATAATTTGTTTTTTCACTCAACTTGTGGCTCGATCAAAAGTAAAATTATAAAAAGGTGTTGACTGAATAAGTTTATTATGGCGGATCATAACACAGTTTGTTGCTTTACTAAAGTACGGTTATTTTAGACTAATAGGGAAAAAGTGTCTTTCTAGTGACACGTCAGCTTGATCTCTTATTGTTGATTGCAACTTTCATTGGGTGTCTTTTATCAGTACGCAGTGAGAGGATAATTTTGCAGTTTAGTAGTGAAAAAAACAAACCTGATTCTATTTCCTTATCGCAAATCCATTTGTTGCCCGAGAGGTCTAGTATTTTAAGGTTTTCAAGGTGCTTGAACACATCACCAGAAATTTGTTTTAGATGAGTGTTTTTAAGGAATAATTTGCTTAATGAATTGGCTTGCATTTGGAAAGACCGGGGTTCAATAGATTCGATTAACGAGTTAGTAAGATCTAATGCCTGAAATAAAAATCGTTTATTCTCTTTATTAAAAATTTAGTTTTTTTTGCTGATGGCTCAAAAATTTAGCTAATTTTTCAATCTTGATATTTAATTTTTACTTCGAGCGATTTTAGCGGAGCAAAAGTGGAATGGTCAACAGTTGCAATGGAAGTGTCACTGAGATTCAAAACTTTCAGTGAAATTAAATTGTTGAATGCTTCGACATCTATCTGTAAAACTTCGATTTTAGCTCTTATACAGCGATCATGCCAAATTGGTGTAATGTTAAGTAACATTACATTCCTGTTTTAAAAGAAGAGTGGAGATTGTTGTTGCAAGTTTAAAATACCTACCATGTTTAGATTAATATTGTGTCGGAAATCGAGTAGTTCTAGGGTAGATGCAATATTAGAAAACGAATTTTCGACAGTACGGAATTCATTCCACCCTAAATCAAGTTCTTTGAGCTGTCGAAGACCATTCCAGACGCACTCTTCTGTTCTATTAAGGAAATTCCCAGCCAGTGATAGGCGTTGAAGTTTTGGTAAACTTTCAAAACTGTCACAATGAATTTGTCGAATCAGATTTACTCGTAAGTCAAGCTGGAAGGAGGAAAAGGGAAACAAGAAGTGTATCAATTGTATTGAGTTTTAGAATATCAAACAAATTTGAGTTCTTGTATTCACAGTTTGGTGAAGGAAAATAATTAACCTCTTTTAAATTTTCAAGTCCTTTAAAAATATCTTTTTCTAATTCAGACAAACTGCAACCGGTTAGGGCAAGTTTCTCAAGCTGCGCGAGTCCGTCAAACGTTCCATTTGGGATCGTAGTAATACCATCTGCCTTTGTTAGGTCCAAAATCTGCAAATATCATCTTGTCTTCTTAATTTTTGAATTTCTTGCTCCATTTGCTGATTTCTCTTCAAATTTTTTCGTATTGGTTAATAAATACCACAAGAGTGGATTAGTGCATTTATGGTGGAATGCAACCATTTTAATTGGTGATTTTTAAAAGACTATTTCAAAAGTGGATTTATTTTTTGGCTCAAATTTTTTTCTGGTAAAATGTTCGTATCACCTACTACATTATCAATTTAAAAAAAATTTTTTGTTTCATTTATCTTTACATTTGAATGGCAAAACAATCACAAGAAGTTTCTTACCTTTAGATTTTTGAGTTTAGTTATTTCCTTGAAAAAAGTTTCGTTAATAAAGTTGTGTTCCCCAAAAGAAATTTCTTCTAAACTGTTGGCAAATGGGTCAAAAATCCCTTCTTCTAACGTCCCGATGAAATTTCCTTCCAAATTCAGTCTTTTAAGCTGTAATAATTAATACAAAATTTTTATTTGCTGGTCTAGTTGTAAGTGCAAAACTTATTAAAACTTTTCTGTCTCAGAAATTGATCAGCAAAGAGAATTAATATGTTTTAAACTTGTTTATGACTGAAAAAAAGTCGCCTGCGTTTTCTTCTCCACAACGAAGTCTCTTTGTACTCTTTGGTAACTGAAACTAGTTGGATAATTAATCTTTCAGGATCATAACCTAATGATATTATATGTATAAAAATTCTGTCAGAAACACTCAGTCTTACCGCCTAGGCTCTATGATACTCCTCAGGGAGTTTGACAAAGGTTATTGTGCCTTTGTCCTCAGAAGAGGCACAAAAAAAAAAAGAAATTCAGAATTTATTATTGAGAAAGAAACTGAACAGGAAGGGAGCGCTGTTGTTAAGATAGCTAAATTTTTTTTTATCTCTACCTTTGTTTTGCAATAATTCTTTAAAAAGAACTAGAAATTGGACAGATTACACCTGTTAGGATGAGGTTTTAGTGAAGATTCGTTTAGGAAAAACAGTAGTTGGGATTCGATTTGTCATAGGCAAGATTATATGGAAATTTTGCGAGCCAGCGGTGTTCAAGTTTAACATTAACGACTTTTAGCAATAGGAAAAGAAATTGATTAGACAAATAATTAGATGGAAATGGTGTTCATTGTCATTAGGGAT